CGGACAATGGTCAACGCTCAGACTTGGAACTTGTCAACTGGTAGGCAATGCAAGCTGCCCTCCGCTGCCGGCCGTTCGCGATGGAGAGGTCTTCTAATTTTTCTAAACTGACATTTTCCCAACCCTCGTCTGAATTCAGCCGACTGGCTGAATTCAGACGAGGGTTGGGAAAATGCGCTAAATGAGCAAGAAAAGTAAAAAAAGTATTTTAAATAAAGCAAAAAAACTAACTTTTTATTATATTCAGTCCTCTAGGCTTTTCAGTCGCAAGGAAACGTTTTCCAATGAGTAAAGGACCTATTTTGCGAGTGCGCTAAATGGGCAGAGAAAGCACTGACTCGTCATCTGTGCCATTTCCAAAACAATGATACGCTTTCTGTGCTGCTACATAAGCAGTCCATCCACCCCTAGAATCCTTCTATTATGTTTGCTCTTCTAGACGTTTCAGTAGCAAGAGAAATTCCGCGACATTTTCATCCGTAGAACTCTAAAGAATCTCCTGGCTGCCCAGTAACCAAGTACCATTCCAAATACTTTTCTTCTGACTGTGAAAGTCATTTTATTGCTTTTTGTCGATAACGTGACAATTCAAGGTGAAATATATGATGGGAAGTGCAGCTAATGCAACAACTGGTACAGTCGCGGAACTACACTGTGCGCCCGGATTTGTTGCTAATGGCGTCGATGCTCTGATATGCGAGCTTCCTGGTTGGGCACCAGCTAGTTCACTCGGCGTTTGCGAAAAGGTATCATCGTTAGCCGAAATAGTCATTATTTTACAGTAATGATAGAATGATGGAATTTTGAATATTCACACTGACCTACTTTTTAAGAGAGGCGTGATCTAAGACATGGGCATACGTGAAAACCAAATTTAAATTTTTATGCGTTTTTGCTATGCAGAGCTATAGTGCTGCTGCAGCCAGCAAAAACGCATATTGTCGAGAGGCTGTCTGTGTTTGTGTGTGTGTGTGTGTGTGTTCTAAAAGCGAGTGCGTTTTGTCACCCACTTTCATCTCGTTACTAGGACAAGCTGGGAGGCTGAAACTTTGGATGTATGTTCCTACCCCGTGTATCATCCTCCCCTTTTATCTTTCCCCATGCGCGCCTAGGTCCCGCGTACGGGACCCCCAAAAAAATATGTTGGCTGGAAACGATTTCTCGAACCGGGCTACGTAGGAAGCTGAAACCTTGTAGGGATATTCTCTATGCACGTGCGAGATAAAAATTTTAAACTCAGCTCTCTAGCTCCCCAAC